CCAGTAGGTCGGTAGGGAGTCGACGCCCAATAGGCCTATAGGGAGGCGATGCCCAGTAGACCAGTAGGGAGGTGTCTAGTAGGCCGGTTGGGAGTCACTCGGCAAGGAGGCGTCTAGTAGGCCAGTAGGGAGGCCTCTGGCAAAGGGCGTCCCATAGGGTGGCGCCCAGTAGGCCAGTAGGGAGGCGATGATGGAGACTCTCTATGCTGTTACGGTTGTGTCTTCCCCTCCTCCCAAAAGGGCGAGATTTGATGCCCCTAATGCTTCTCGGTCAAGGTCTGAGGTTTGGTGCCCCCATTCTTTCCCTCATTCCCAGACTGTGATTCCTGTGTGTACTAGAGCTAACCCTTGTACCATTGTAGAAGTTGTGACTCTAGTGCGATCTTCTACGGGGACTGTAACTCTAAGTAACTGTCATGTTTCTAGTAGTGACTCAGTGTTCATGCTTCGATGTGACTTCGATCAAGGAGCAACTTGGGAGGTCTGTGACTCCCAGGGATATCAGGGCATTATCTATACCACGATGAAGGGATTCTCTTTTTCTTCATGATCTGCCTTTTGGATTCTTGTACATGACTGCTACCTTTCCCTACCTCTTTTCAAGAACAATTAAACTTTGAGAGGGATCCAAGGATCTGGCGAAAGAAAGGCGGGCTTCGAGAGACTGCTGAGGAGCAGTTGAAGCTTGCTCATGAGAGAGTCTTGCCTCCTGAAACCAAAATTTTTGGCATCCTATGAGAGAGCCGGAAAGTTGTAGGCTGATAAAAAGACTGTCTGCGTGAGAGCAGAGTTAGAGTTACGTATAGCTTGGTAGAGGCTTGCGGTGGCAGAGGCTTGTAAAGAGACTTCCTGTGCGAGAGAAGAATCATAGCTGCAAACGTCCCGTGAGAGGGCCCTATGAGCTGAGGCCGAGTTACGTATAGTCTCGGGAGATGATTGTCGTAGCAAAAGCTTGTAAGGAGACTACCAACATGAGAGCAGAGTCATAGCTGTAAATGTCCCGTGAGAGGGCCGTAGCAGCTGAGGCCAAGTTACGTATAATCTCAGGAGATGGTCGCCGTAGCAGCGGCTTATAAGGAGACTACCAGCACGAGAGCAGAGTCATAGCTGCAAATGTCCTGTGAGAGGGCCGCAGGAGTTAAGGCCGAGCTATGTATAGTCTCGGGAGATGACTGTCGTAGCAGCAGCTTGTAAGGAGACTACCTGCGCAAAAGCAAAGTCATAGTTGTAAACGTTCCGTGAGAGGGCCGCAAGAGTTGAGACCGAGCTACGTATAGTCTCGAGAGATGGCTGTCGTGGAAGAGGCTCATTGTATTGAGATGAAGATGAGGGATCTGAGGTGTTGATCGTCAGGAATATGATGACCTTTGTCTTTTTGTCTACCTTGTTGTTAGGTCATAAGTTATTTTCAAACTTTATGCAATGAAAACAAGAAAGTTATGGACACAATAATCTTGCAGAGTTTTATTTCATAAAATAATAAATAACAAAATAAATCAACTGAAACAATAAAGGATAGATAAAATCTTCAAGTGTTTGATATCTCATAGGTGGGCCAAGACTTTCTTGGTGGTGTTGGAGTTAGCCCTCATGAGATTGTCTGGATTTCTTTGAGTGGTTGTTGGCGTTCTTTGTCGTCCTGGTCCCGGCCAAGTGGCGAGACTTGTCCTTTGCCCGTAATGTACTGCCTTAATTGGTCACGCTATATGAGCTCCTCAATCTGCCTTTTGGGATCAAAACAATCGTCAGTGTCATGACTGGTCACGGTGGAAACAACAATACTTGTTCGGGCTTCTCCGAGTAGGGGCTACTTTCATCTTCTCTAGCAAGCGTACTATAGGATCATCTTGTATTTGGAATTGGATATGCTCCACGAAATAATTGAGCGGTGTGAAAGCTTGCCGCTCTCTTAGAGGCAGGGGACCAAGGCGGTCCTTGACAGAGATTCTCTCTGTCCTACCCCTTTTGCTCTCTGTTTCCTGCTTGTCCACACAGGTGTCCTTCCTCTTTTCGCCCCCATGGGAGCACTCATGTCGTCTGGCCTTGGTGACATCTTTGGCGTTTATGTATTTCTATGCCCTATGCAACAGCTTGGGCATGTTGGAGGACGGCTTCTTCAGGACAGAGAACATAAAGTTGGAGGAGCGCAGACCTACGATAAAGGCGACTAGGGATACTTTATCGTCTGACTCTTCAATCTGGAGAGCCTCCTCATTAAAACGAGTGAGGTAGCTCCTGAGGCTTTCATCCCAGTCCTGCTTGAAGGTGAGCAGGTAGGCAATATGCTTCTAATGTCGGTATCCCCCAATAAAGTGGGAGACGAAGGATCTACTTAGTTCTGCGAAGAAGTAGATGGATGAGGGTTTAATCTTTGTGAACCATTGGTGAGCAGACCCCTTCAAGGTGGTATGGAAGACTCTATACATAATCTCCTCAAGCATGTTTGTGGAGTTACATGAGAAATTTGTATGTATCAAGATGGTTGAGGGGGTCTTTGGTACTGTCGAAGATCTCGATGGTAGGCATCCTGAACTTCGAGGGTAAGATATAATTGACTATGTCCGCAACAAAAGATGTATCAATACGTCTTATTAGGTAATCCACCGTCTTGGGCGCTTGTACCTTGATGGCGTTGAGGGTATCAATGAGTTAGTTTTGCACCTCTCTGATCTTCTCATCCCATTGGTCGGGAACATCCTCTGTTAGGTGATTGTACTGGCTCCCATGATCGCCATATTGATTCTCTCATTTGTTCTCCTGCTCAGGAAGGTGTGAAGGGAAAATACATGAGCTCCCTATGCACTGAGGAGGGACTACTGGGTGAGGGGCGCCCTGGGGTGGCCCTAGGGTGTTCTAGCGAGGGGCCCTATGGTGAAAGGCTACCTGGAGCCCAGAATGGATGGATTGCTGCTCCTCTCCTGTTGGAAGGAGTGGGCCTCCTCCTATAAGGTGAGGGGCGACGCCTCCCTGGGCAAGCATCAACTGAATGATTTGTTGGTTTTGATTTACCAACAGTACATGGTCTGAAAAAGCTGTTGCCCGACAACGGGGGTCACCATAGCAGATGGTTCTGAGGGTGCAAAGGGAAGCGGAGCCTCCTCTCGGTGGGCCAGGTTATTATCTCCTGGTTGTTGACTCATTGATCTGGTCGTGATTGTCATGGATTGAAAAAGAGTAGGAAAACTAGTCGTTCTCACAGACGGTACCAAACTGAGGATGCACAAATTGGTATCATGCAAAATCAATAATGAAGTATATGAACAAATGCAATTAATGAGCAATAAGTAAGATAATCAGTGGTAAAACAGTAAATAAGAATAAACATGTAGATTTATAGTGATTCGGTTCGAATGACCTACTCCACTCCCGGGAACAATAGTGGTGACCGAAGGCCCTTATTGATGAATAAAATAGCCGAAAGAGTATGCTTCGGGAGAATTATAATACTTTAGGAGAGAGAAACTTGGTGAGGCGGTGACGTGAGGGAGATGACACTATTCTTTTGGGAAGTACAATTAAGGTAGGATTTGACCTACATGAATGTATATCCCAATATTCTCTCTCTCTCACGTGCTCTTATGTTTTTGGGCTCCTTGGATCTTTGACTAGATCGAATCGACAAAATGGGCTTGGCTACCTTTTAATTGACTTGGGCTCAGTTAAATTATTAGGCCTACCCAATTTATTTTGGGCTCATCACTGACAACTAATTAGGTCTTTGTGGATGGCAAATGAGAACTAATGGATTCTACGCACATATATATTATTGATTCCACCCACATTTGATTAATGAGTGACAAAGCATCCCAATTTTAGAGGTTAATATAATTTCCCCAACCACAAAGTTCCATTCCAACATTCTTTATTTTATTTTCTTCATGTCCATTTACTTTTTTCCCCCCTTGAACATTTACAATATTCCCGACCTCTTGATTCATCATCATAGACTAACCCCCTTGGGCGGTGGTGGGAGGCGGTGGGCGGCTATTGGAATCAGTTGCCCATACCCTAATGGAACCTTCATCATGTTATCATTTTAGAAGATTATCAAGCAATGTAGTGCATCAAGAGCTCTCTTGTCAAATTGTACAATTGAAAGTCCAATTACTTCATATTTTCGGGAGTCAGATTTCCGTAAAAAAATTTCTTTCAATTTTTTTACAAAGATAATTTAGTCATCTTTCCCAGTGGGTGAGTCACCTCACATATGATGAGGAGGTCTCTTGCTTGACTCTCCTCCCCCACTTTCTCTCCCCTCTCCTTGAGTGCTATTGAAGTAAAAAAACCCACTCACCCACACAAGTTGGTCTTGAGTGTTATTTTACTCGTCAAAGCTCTTTCTTACCCCCAAAATTAATTTTTCTTCCTAAAAACCCCCCGTATTGGTAAAGATAAACAACAATGGAGTATTTGGATGACATAGTAAGTCTAAATCTACATGGATTTTACTTTGAAATTTGAATAAACCATTACATACCCATATATCCTATCGATGTGTGTGATTGGACGACTACTGCAAATTGAATCCTAAATGGACTCTGGTTGCCTTATGTCAATTGATATGTATGTGTACTGAACAACAACAAAATGATACACAATCTCTCTTACTTTGAATTTATGGCTCTAGAAAGATATTATCTCTACAAATTATGCGGTTCGTAATACAAGTAGAAGATTTGTTCATCATATCTATACCGCAGTTTTGAGGTAACCCACAACTTTATTTCCCCAATATTAACAAATGACAACGCGTACTATGCTGCAATGCTTTGGGTTAATATGCATTTGAGTAATTACAACTATATGTTCAATCCTAATTCAACACAGTAATCTCAAAGGGAAACTATCATTTATGTTTTTTTCAACATTTTTTTTGGCTGCATCACAACAATTTATTGTTTATTGATTCTAGTATTATCAAACAATCTGCTATATAGATGAATGTCTGTCCATATTAAGACAATCAGATCAATTCATCGAACATAAAAAAATTTAAAAACATGGAAATCTGTGAATGCAATGGAGCATTGAATGCCATAGCCAGTTTTTTTGTGGTGGTAAGTTTGGATAATAACTATCAGTGGATTGCTTAATGTTTTGCTAATCTTCTGTACTAATTAAGATCGATGTTTTCAGTGGGGCTACACGCGTGGTGAAAATAGCCGAAAGGTCAAAGAAAGTGGTTTAGTGGAGAGGCTTATATGGCGTCGTGCACTTACGAAAGCTCTCTTATATAAGACTTTGAGTCTTGAACACTTGAAAGATCATACCGAGTGCCAAGGAGAGATGGCCACTAACAAGCATCATTGTAGCTCAAGCTTCACCTTTCTCTTATTATCGTTACTCTTTTTACAGTTTTATTCTGGTATCATATTTTATCGTACGTTTATTTTTATTCATTGTCAATTGTCGGGTTGTGATTATATGGTATCACTGTAATGTTATATCATGCTTTTATAGTTTCTAACTAAAGTGGGATTTGGGGTTTTTTTTTTTATTTTCTTGCTATGACGTGAAGGAGTGGCAACAAGATAATTTCACCCTTGACCAATGGAGCCATGGCCCTAAGTCTTATAATGTCTCTTTCAGCCCTTTAATTTTTGTGTTATTTATTAAAAATTACTACAGTGGTCCCTTTTAGTTTTGTGTATTTTTAATAGGGTCTCTAATAATCTTACGATGTATCTTTTTCCCAATTTTTAGTCTCGAAAAAAAATTCTGGGTTCACCCCGAGATTGCTCAAGGGGTTCCGGGCATATGCTCATTCCTTCTAGCTGCAAATGTTTTTTCTCCTTCCAACAACCAGGTCCAAAATTATCAACTACAGATATGTGGCTACCTAACATTTTCTTTTCTTTTTTTTTTTTTGTTTAGAATTGAACTTAGACCAAAAAAGGACATTTTCTATTCTTGTAAATTGATTTGCTTCAATTCTTTTCTCCCTTTTTCTTTTTGCTAGTATTAACCATTTAGCAACTTTTTTTTTTTATCTCTAGCTCTCCACTTTTTCTGGGGTTGGTCAGCCACAAAAATAAATCTGTCATATTCAAAATAACTTGGATTTTTTTTTTTTGAAGAAATTAGAAGACATAGAGCACCCTTCCCACATGTCATTTATCGAAAAGTTGCAGGTCTATAATTGTTTTTTTTTTTTTTTTTGACATTTTGATGAAGGTTTAAGTGAGCTCCAGCTAAATTACTACACAACTAGTTGCCCAAGAGCCGAAGAGATCGTCAAAGAAGAAGTCACCAAGTTATACCAGAAACATGGAAACACAGCTGTTTCATGGATGAGAAACCTTTTCCATGATTGCGTGGTTAAGGTAAGTCTCAACAACATAACATATATAATCTTTTCTAATCTACTTGGAATATGCAAATATGTATACATATAGGTTTACAACTACTTTAATTATTGTCCACTTCTAATAAACACGTACGATTGACCCAATTCTAGATTTCTCTATAATCATATAACTGTCAAAAGTGAGTGTATGTGCACATATATATATGGGTTGAGTAAATAGGTTTACCTTGTAAATTATGCAGTCATGCGATGCATCACTATTGTTGGATACCGCACATGGCATAGTGTCAGAGAAGACATCACAGAGAAGCTTTGGTATGAGAAATTTTAAGTACATAAGCACAATCAAAGAAGCCCTTGAAAGGGAATGCCCCGCCACTGTTTCTTGTGCTGATATCGTTGCTCTTTCTGCAAGAGACGGTGTTGCCTTGGTATGATTTCTCCTTCTTCTTCTTCTGGTTGTAAATGAATCAAAGTAAGCCGAGCTCATCGGATTCGTAACAAGTTTTTAAAACTTTGTTCATGAAATTTATCCAAGATGGAGCTTGGGTTCAAATTTATCAAACTCATGTTCAATAGTAAACTCCCATTATACTGACTCGATTCATTTATTAAATTAATCTTTGAGTTCATTCTTGTTCAACAAATTTAAACCAACTTCTATCCAAACGATTCCAAGATGTTCGGAACAACTTGGTTTTGCAGCCACACTTTTGCTTTCTGACTTTGGTTTTGATTTATGTAATGTGCTCATGATAAAGTTAGGAGGGCCACAAATTGAAATGAAGACTGGTCGAAAGGATAGCTTGGAAAGCTATGCAACACAAGTTGAAAACTACATCCCTAACCACAATGACTCCATATCATTAGTTCTTTCGCGGTTTCAATCCCTTGGCATAGGTGCTGAAGGAACGGTTGCTCTTTTAGGTATGTAATACTCCCTATTTATTTCTTCTCTGGCACAAAATCGCACTTTTAACATATCAGACTGAAAATCAAGTCTCTTATTTAGTGGTTCCTTCAAACTACTCAAGGGTGAGAGTGATCCATCTCGACAACTTCTCGACAACAGCCCGTAGCCCACAATCACATGAACAGCTCGATAACTCAATGGTCGTTGGCCATTCTCTTTAATCCTCTAGGCCCAACTAATGCTGGCGTTAGGGGTATTTAAATTTTCGATTATCCACAAATTTCAATCATATTCTATTCTACCCAACTCTATTGTTCGGGTGGAAGAGTTTTTGATAATCCACAAAAAATTGGATAAGAATGTAGAAGATCTACAAAATTTCTGTATTCCTATCCTATCCTATCCTACCCTACCCTACACACACACACACACACACACACACACACATATATATATATGTTAATCCCTAATGTTTTGTTGATATTTATGACTTTCTTGTTGTGTTTTATTTTAATTGTTTATGTATTATTAAATTTATTGTGTTTTCTTTAGTGTTATTGATTTACTGTGTTAGTTAATTAGTGCAGGTTACTTAATTAAATTATTAAAATGATCCAAAAAATTAATAACAAAAAAATATGTGTTCACCTGATTTCTTACTGATCTCTTCCTACTCGATTGTTTTGGACAAAATTCGAATAAAAATAGTACACTTGATCGGGTAGGGTAGGCAAAAAAAAAAATTTATAAAATATCGGATAAAAAGATAAAATATCATAATTCTGATACGTAGGATAGGATAGACGTTCCTAACTGGCATAGTTTTTTCGAATAGCCTAATTTGACCTAATTTGTTGGCTAATCAATGACCTAGTACCTGTAATGGCAATTGACGGACGGCCCCAATAGACCTTTCTAGCAAATTTGGCTGGGAAGATTGTCCACACAAAAAGATCTTTCGCAGCAGTATAAAAACCACCAAAAGATCCACATGGGCAGCCTGAGCACCATTTTTGATTGATGAATGCTTTCTTTCTCTTCCTCCTATTATATACCCTTGTTAATCTGCCATTTTGCTCTGAAAGTCCTTGAATAAGCACATCCTTTTTGTTGCTATAGAGCAAATCAAAGGGAAGAGAATAAGTTACCAGGCCTCGGGGCTGTTTTTTAACTTTACAAAAGAGTACTAATGGCACCATTTCTGTCCCCCAGGAGCCCATTCGGTCGGTCGGGTTCACTGTTTGAACCTTGTAGAGAGACTGTACCCCACTGTTGATCCTACCTTGGATCCTGAGCATGCTGAGTACCTCAAACATCGATGCCCAACACCGGAATCTGATCCGAAGAAAGTGGAATATGCAAGGAACGATCTCGAGACGCCAATGGTGCTCGATAACATGTACTACAAGCTTCTTTTGAGACACCAAGGACTACTATTAGTTGATGCACAGCTAGTTTCTGATCCTTCTACCTCTCCTTTTGTTGAGAAGATGGCTGCTGATAATGGGTACTTTCATGACCAATTCTCTGTGGCTCTGCTAACGTTATCGGAGAATAATCCGCTGACCGGAGACCAAGGAGAGATAAGAAAGGATTGCCGCTACGTGAACAGAGATTAGGGATGTTTTAAGTACTCATGAGCCATGGACTTTGAGTAATACACTGAAAACCTTTTTCATTGTTGCTATTAAATTAAGCAAAACTATTTAGATTAGATTTATGGAGAAGTGAAGGACATTTTCAGAAAGTTCCGAACTTGAGAAAAGACACCGCTTATACAGGGTGTTGGGTATGCTGTAATAATATCTCATTATATGAAAACAACAGTATTATATACAATCTCTCTTACTTTGAAATTTTTGCTCTAGAAGAAGTATTATCTCTTCAAATCATGCAACTCGCAACACAAGTAAAAGATCATTCCATCATAACTATACTACGATATTGGGGTTACCCGCGACTGTATTTTCCCAATATTAACAAATGCCACGAGGCTCAACGTATACTATATGGGCTAGTTTGTTTCAAGGATTACAGTGGTATAAGGAAGTGGTATTAGAGAAATAGTACGTGAAACCCATTTTATATCTTATTTGTTTAGCATTATATAGTCAGTGCTATTTTTTGGATCGTAATACTGACCCGCTATGAACAGTAGTCATAACGTCTTGTAGATAGTTTTAATGAATACCACCTACCCGGTGGTATTATATGTTCCGTACAAATAAGATGGAGGTATAATAGAGTAAAAAGATCAAACTGTTCTCATGTACAATTGTCTTTTTAAGTTACAATGTTACAATTGTCTTTTTATGGGTCATAGTCGCAATTATTGACTTTTTTAAGTAGATATTACACAGATAATGTTTGTGACAAAAAAACAAGAGGAATAATGAGATTATAGTTTAAAATCGAATATAATATATTATTAAATTGAAGTGAAGTGAATATAAAATCTTATACTCAAAACAAACTGGACTTATATGTTGCAATAAATTGGACCAATCTTCATTAAAAATGACAAACTATGGTTCAATCCTAATTCAATGCAGTAATCTCAAAGGAAAATGATCATTTGTGTTTGTCCAACATTTTTTTTTATTGGCTGCATAACAACAATTTATTATTTATTGAATTTAGTATTATCAAACAATATTTATTAAGCGATTTTAATGTTAAATAGTACCCATTTTTAATTTAATTTTTAGATTAAATCTAAATAATATTTTTTTGTCTTTATATATCTGTCCAGATTGAGACAATCAGATCGATTCATAGAACGTAAACCCTTTATATTATGGAAATCTACGAATGCAATGGCGCATTGAATGCCACAACCAGTTTTATGTGGTGGTAAATTCGGATAATAACTATCACTGGATTGCTCAATATTTTGCTAATCTACTAATTAAGAATGTTTTCAGTGGGGCCCACACCCACAGGTGTGGTGAAAATAGACGAAAGGTCAAAGAAAGTGGCTTAGTGGAGAGGCTTATACGGGCATTGTGCACTTACCCAAACCTCTGTTATATAAGACTTGTTGGAGTCTTTCAACCCTTGGAAGAACATACCAGAGATGGCCACTAACAAGCATCATTGCAGCTTAAGCTTCTTCTATCTGTTATTATCGTTGCTCTTTTCACAGTTTTATTTTGGTATATATCATATTTTTAATTTGACACGTTTATTTCTATTTATTTTTAAATTATCAATTGTTGACTTGTGATTATATGATATTACCGTAATGCTATGTCATGCTTTTATAGTTTAAAACTATAAGTTGAGTTTGGGGTATTTTTTTTTTTCCTCTTTTTTGCTGTGTCATAATGGAATGCATGCACCAAGAAACTTTCACCCTTAACCAATAGGTCCATGGCCCAAGCCTTCTAATCTTTCTTTCACCCCTTTAATTTTTGTGTTATTTATTATAACTATTAGACTGGTCTTTTTAGTATTCTTACTATATATTTTTTCCTAAATTTTAGTCCTATAAAAAAATTCTAGGTTCGCCCCGAGATTGCCCAAGGGGTTTGGTGTACATGCTCATTCCTTCTAGTAAGCAAATGACCTTTCTCCTTCCAAAAACCAGGTCCAAAATTATCAACTGTAAATATATGCCAAGTTAACATTTTCCCTTTTGTTTTTTTTTTATTTATTTTCCTCTTCTTTTTCTGGGATTGGTCAACCACAAAAATAATTCTGGTAACATTCAAAATAACTTGGATTTTTTTTTTTAAAAGAAATTATAAGACATAGAGCACCCTTCCCACCATGTTATTTATTGAAAAATTGCATGTCTATAATTGTTCTTTTTTTTTTAATGACACTTTGATGAAGGTTTAAGCGAACTCCAGCTAAATTACTACACAGAGAGTTGCCCAAGAGCCGAAGAGATCATCAAAGAAGAAGTCACCAAGTTATATGAGACAATTGGACACACAGCTATTTCATGGATAAGATTCCTTTTCCATGATTGCATGGTTAAGGTAATTCTCAACAACTTAACCTAATCTACATGGAATATGCAAATATGCATATGTATGGGTACTACCCCTCTATTGTCCACTTCAAATAAACACAATTGACCCAATTTTGAAATATCTTCTAAAATCGTATAATTGTCTAAAGTGAGTATGTGTGTGCGTGCATGCATATATATGGGCTGAATAAATAGGTGTGCTTTGTAAATTATGCAGTCATGCGATGCATCACTATTGTTGGATACAGCGAATGGTATGGAGTCGGAGAAGACATCACAAAGAAGCTTTGGTCTGAGAAATTTTGAGTCCTTAGGCACAATCAAAGAAGCCCTTGAAAGGGAATGCCCTATGACAGTTTCTTGTGCTGATATTGTTGCTCTTTCTGCAAGAGAAGGTGTTGCCTTGGTATGATTCTTTTTCTTCTTCTTCTTCTTTTGGTTTTAAATGAATCGAAGTAAGCCGAGCTCCAGTTTGGTCCCGCATCAGGTTTGTGACAAATTTCTAATATCTTGTTAAAACTTTGTTCATCAAATTTGTTCAAGATGGAGCTTTGGTTCAAATTTATTGAACTCGTGTTCAATACTAAACTCCATATACCTCTATTACCTACCTATTTATATGGACACCATTCAAACTATATACCATGTTTATATTCACGAGTTCAAAGAGTCAAATAAACCATTATCCTAACTCAACTCATTTATTAAATTGATCTTTGAGTTCAAATCATGTAATGTGCTCGTGATACAGTTAGGAGGGCCACATATTGAAATGAAGACTGGTCGAAAGGATAGCTTGGAAAGCTATGCAACACAAGTTGAAAACTACATCCCTAACCACAATGACTCCATGTCATTAGTTCTTTCTCGGTTTCAATCCCTAGGCATTGGTGTTGAAGGAACAGTTGCTCTTTTAGGTATGTAATTCTCTCAATTTATTTCTTCTCCTGCCCATAATGGCACGTCCCTGAATAAGGGCCTCCGTTGCTGCCATAGAGCACATCAAAGGGAAGAGAATAACCTACCATGCTTTAGGGCTGTATCTTTTCAGCATTACAAAAGAGTATTAATGGTACCATTTTATGTCCAGGCGCTCACTCGGTCGGGCGGGTTCACTGTGTGAACCTTGTAAATAGACTCTACCCCACTGTTGATCCTACCTTGGATCCTGAGCATGCTGAGTACCTCAAATGTCGATGCCCGACACCAGAAGCGCATCCAAAGAAAGTGGAGTATGTAAGGAACGATCTTGAGACGCCAATGGTGCTTGATAACTTGTACTACAAGCATCTTCTGAGCCACAAAGGACTACTATTAGTTGATGCACTGCTAGTTTCTGATCCTTCTACCTCTCCTTTTGTTGAGAAGATGGCTGCTGATAATGGCTACTTTCATGACCAATTCTCTACATCTCTGCTAATGTTATCGGAGAATAATCCGCTTATCGGAGACCAAGGGGAGATAAGAAGGAATTGTCGTCACGTGAACAGAGATTAGGGATGTTTTAATACATAAATACTCATGAGCCATGGACTATGTGTTAAATTAAGCACAAGTTTTCATTGTTGCTCTTAAATTAAGCAAAAGTTTAGGTTCGTATGTGTTTGACGTATTTTCAGATTGTGAGCATGCAAAACTATAGATAAACTTAATTTCCAAATTCTTACGACTTTATCTATTTAAACTAATATGAGGTTCTAAAATCGTGCTTATTCAAGTGATTGAAACCAGAGAAAATATTCACTCTAGATTTTTTTTCTCTACTTTGGAGATCAATAACTTAAATTATTCCTTCTAGGAGCAATGGAACTGGAATGAACAACAAAGAGAATTGTTGTATTAATTATTGTACTTGGAATTTAATAGAAAAAAGAATATCGGAATGACGACAAAAGAATTTACAGTGTGGAGTAAAATAAAAGAACATAAACTTAAACAATACCGAGGAAGGCCAGAATGCTACTTGTGTGTGTTGATCGAGAGATCACTTCTCTGTTACCTGTGCCTCCGTATTTGTAGGCGGTGGTTCCTAACCGTTTGAGCCATCTTTATTTGGCCACTACACTGACTTATGTGACCTCTCTCTTCAACGGCTAACAACATAGTTGTTGGATGTTGCCAAATGTCATTTTTAGATTTTTAGTACTTGGGTATGTAAACATTGCCCCCCTCCCAAACGATGCAACATTACGCTTTTCTTTTGGAGTGTCGCTTTGGTTCTTCGAATTTGAACTATTGTCAACTTAGTTCGACTGCTTAGCTGTCACCTCTATATTGGTTACACTGCACGACATATGCGGCTCAGTTTCACTTGGAGACTCTTGACCTTCTTCTGTCTTTTCAAACCTGTAGGAAATAACTGGCACGTGATTTGATCTTATCTCCTCATCATGGCAACGACTTTCCTAACCCCTCTATATATACCCTGTCAGACTTATTTTTGCATTATGTTGGCGACCCTTCCTTCCTCCAACCATGACATCTTGTTTTTCTCGTACAACTATCCTTCAAGATCTGATCACCAAAATCCCGAGAAAATTTAATCATCATACTTTAGTTCCCGACGTCGAGACCTACTCGTCGGTGATGGGCCTTGGTCCCACTTTTTACTACATTCCCTCTCTGTCTATCATTTGGAAGCATCACCCTGTTTCTACTGAACCTCTTCCGTCCAGACGATGTGAACGCCTTCAATAGACCTATTGGGGTTTTGGCAGCCTCATTCAATGCATGGAAGTCTCCATCTCTAGAATAGATTTCTTGTGTTTCCCGCGTCAAGGCAACTAGGGATGTGTCGAAATTCAAAAATCCTACTTTGACTTCGACTCCGCCTTCGTAAGAGTCCGGGTTAGAGTCGGAGGCAAAACTCAGACTCCGGTTAGAGTTAGAATACAAAATCCATTTTAAAAAAATTTGGACTCCGACTCCGATTTTTATTAATTAATAATTTTATATAATTTATAAATTATGTTAGATATTTTTATGGAAAAATTATGAAAAAGTATACTATGGAATATTTATTTGTGGAAAAGTACCTTAATATAAAATATTTGTGTATAAGTATTTTTGTGTGTAAATGTTTGGTGAGAAGATACACTTTTACTTAATTTTAATTTTTTCTCTACAAAATTGTCCTTTTCCTTTATTAATGGGACACAAATATGGCAATTATATTTTAAATTCAGTTTTTCTTTTTTAATGATATATCATTTTTGAATTTTGAATTTTCTCTTCCTCCTTCATTTAACAGACGATTTCCTTATCCATTCCTTAACCCATGTTTTATATAGTCTGTAAAAGTTTTATTCAAATATCCATAGGTTAGTCTGCTTGAGTTAATTACATATTTTTTAACAGGTTCGTTTTTGCTTCCATACCGCTACCGGGTTTTTACACATCTTCCACAAACTTGCAATAGAAGACGTGTGTCAGGTATGTCTTACACACTGTTGTAAATTTATTTTTTTTTAAAATAAATTGTAATGACGAATATATGTTTCACATTATTTTTTTTCACATAATTTTGATGGAGGATATGATCATTTTGTTATGTTGTTATGAGAATGAATCGTTAATTATCCACATTTCAAGGTATTCACCGTTTGAGGATGTGTTAAATCGAGTGTGTGATAGATGGGAGTTGTTGCGGGATTTGTCAGTACGATTGTCATATTTACTCTCTGAAATCCCAAATTGTTTCTTGAAGAATGATGAAGACTTAAAAAATATGTTTGAAATGTCACATTCTCTTAACGTCAATCATGTTCCTGTGAAGATAACCGTAAAAGATGATGACTCAAATGGAGGTGCTCTTAATAATTTAATTAAAGATTTGCATAATCCGAATGATGATTATGATTCGAAAGATGATTTGTTGTCTCGTTATAGTCAACATAACGAGAAAGTTCTGTTAACATCTGGGTGGATTAATGAAATCAAACATGTAGGACAGAAATTTAAAGGCGTGGTGTGTTGCAGTTTCGTAATGCTCTTTGCACCGTTGTGATTAAATGTTATTATTGACAATGTAGTTGGTGTTATTTTATGTTTATTTTTCTTTGAACACAAAATAAATTAACAATTGGTTATCAAACTTGGGGTTTGTTTAGAGATGGAGTGTGTTGAACTATGTTAGAATTGAAGATGATTTTTGCAAATGTGGAATATCCTTCATATCTTATCTATGCATGTAATGTTTTTTTTTTTCAGTTGTACATTTGTATTTGTCACAGTGTGACAACATGTCACAAAATTCGCTGCTAATGTGAAAGTCAGACCATGTAATGTCACAATGTTACGAACGTAATGTAACACTGATATAACCCACATTCAATATAGAAGCATACAATGAGATAGTCAGGTCATCCAATGACACACTGTTATCAATCAATGAGACATTGCTGCAACCCAAAATCAACATGGTAAATAGACAATGATACACTGTTATCAAACATTGATATACTGTTAACAATCAATGTCACACTGTTATCAGCCAATGACACATTTCTTCTAGCCAAACGCCATCCTCACTCAAACCAATGTCATCATATTTTAACCTTCAAATGATACTGATACAACAAATGACACACTAACATCATCGAAAATTGCATACTAATACAAAAGAAATATAATTATGCTGTCAGTCAATTACATAATGTCACACTGCTACAAATTAAATCCTCAATGTGATAATTTAATATCCCCACTGTTACAAATCAAATTAACAAAATTGACAGTGCAATTTCATATTGTTATAATCTAAAGTTGCACTGTTAGAATCCAAAATCACATTGCCATAACCTAAAGTCACATAAATACTACCAGTATTACATCAAAATCCCAATGACACTGTTCACTAATCACATTTACACTTCAAATGTGTAATAACAGTTTGAAGAACTAATCATGTACCCACAAATTTGTCTTTCAATGTTTGTCTCGTTTTGAAATTGTCTTCTGTCCAAGAATTTTGATAATTCAGAAACATTAACAGCATTTCACTTCGAAAGTCTTTAATTTGTCTTTGTGTCAAATTCTCTTCTACGTCTTCTCCTGTTGCCAATTGTTTCATAATGTAGCAAATGTACACACCACAGTCGACCCTGACATATAGTTGAAATTAGTTTGTTATTACATTATTGGTCAAATAACAAATTTTGCGGATTTACAAATACTCAAATTTACTTGAATCATAATGTAATATTCCTTGTGAAATTTAACAATTTAATCATAAATAGCAGTTGTAATAATCAATCAAATTACCAAAAAAACTTGGAGATATTATTGATTCAACGCCATAATTTATCAAAGTTTACCTTCCCCTTTGTCGACAAGTTATTTTCAAACACTATTCAATGATCTCAACAATCCTTCCTCACCCCAATGTATGCTTTTTTATTCACCGAAATAGCAGTTGTAATAATCAATCAAATTACCAAAAAAACTTGGAGATATTATTGATTCAACGCCATAATTTATCAAAGTTTACCTTCCCCATTGTCGACAAGTTCTTTTCAAGCACTATTCAATGATCTCAACAATCCTTCCTCACTCCAATGTATGCTTTTTTATTCACCGTTTACAAAATGTTGTGGTCGTCACCATCTGCAACAGAGACTTTCACTGTTTCACACCAAACCCAATTTTTTTTAAAAAAAAAAAAATCATTTTGAGCAGTGAACACATAAAATAAAATAAAAATTGAAAATGGGTTGAACGAAAAACCAATTTTTAACATCATGTCTTGAACGAAAGTTTTCAACATTGTTAAAATGAACCCATCAAAATTGAACAGTGAACACATCAAAAAAAAATTGAAAATGGGTTGAAAGAAAAGCCCATTTTGAACATCACGTTTTGAACGGAAGTTTCAACAATGTTAAAGTGAACCCATCAAACCTGAACAATGAACACATCAAAAAAAAAAATGAGAACTGATTGAACAAAAAACCCATTTTTGAACATCATGTCTTGAAAGGAATAGAGGGTTTAGGAAGTTTTCACATACCTTTTTCTCCACAATGAAAGCCTTTTTCTTCACTGATTCGTTCTTCACCATCCACTAGTGACTTTTCACTAACTCACAGAGAAACCCATTCAAAGAACAAAAAAAAAATTGATTTTGAACATCCTGTTTTGAAAAGAATGGAGGTTTTAGGAAGTTATGTCATCAATTTTTGAAGAACCCACATTTTCGGCAAATATTGAAGGAGTTATGGGTAACAGTCCATTTCCGTTGTTTCGGCTTTGGAGGTAAAAATTTAGGAGACTATTCACCTTCTTCCGAATAGGCTATTTTAGATATTTGTTATGTATTGTGTACTTTTTGACCAATATTTTTAAAAGTGATACTTTTTGCACTATAATTTCTAAAAATGGTATCGGCCCCTTAAAACCCTATTTTTATCTATAAAAGCCCTACCTTATCTCCAAATGAACCCTAAGCCCATTATTGGCCCACCCAATATTTCATTTCCTCTCTCTCTCTCTCTTTCTCT